GTTGAACCAAATATGATGTCGTCGACGTAGATCTACATGACGATCAGATGGTTGTTGTGGATTTTCCTAAAGAGGGTGGGATCAATAGAACCTCTATGAAACTTAGAATCTTCTATGAACTTAGACAATGTTCCATACCATGCTCTTGGGGCTTGCTTCAATCCATAGACAGCCTTTTGAAGCTTATAACAATGGTTAAGGAACTTTGGATATTCAAATCCAAGGGGGTTGTTGAACATAGACATGTCTATCGATTTCTCCGTTCAAGAATGCACACTACACGTCCATTTGGTAGACCTTAAAATTCTAGTGTGTAGCAAATTCTAAGAAAATCCTAATGGCTTCTATCCTTGCAACAAATGCAAAGGTTTCATCATAGTTTATGCCTTCTTGTTGCGAGTAGCCTTTGACAACTAGTCTGGCTTTGTTCCTGATGATGACTCCATCTTCGTCACTTTTGTTCATGTAGACCCATTGTGAACCAACAACTAATACTCCTTCTGGTGTTGGCACTAAGTCCCACACGTTGTTGCGTTCAAATTCAGCTAACTCTTCTTGCATTGCTTTTACCCAATCTGCATCTTATAGAGCCTCTTTGATTCCTTTAGGCTCTATCATGGATAGAAAGCTTGCATATAGACAATCATTCTTAGTTGATGAAAGAGTCATTACTCCAGAGTCTAGATCGCCTATAATTTGATCAACTGGATGATCCTTTGTCCATTTTGTAAGGCGAGCTTCCTTATGGATTTATGGAGTACAAACTACCTCATTTTGTTCTCTTGGACGAGAAGGGTAGTCAGAAGTGAATGTTCCTTCAAATAGATCATCTTGGAAAAGTCCAGAACTACCTAAAATAAGTGGTCCCCCCTCAACTGTTTCATGCTTGAATTCAACATATGAAGTGGATGTGAAGGAATTTGAGGATTTGGAACCAGTCGAGTGGGGTTCCTACTGAAACCATGGACTGGATGATTGGGAGGATAGTAAAGTACCATTAAGAATGGAACCATTCAAAGGTGGTTCCCCCTCGAAAGATGCAGTGACTGGTGTTATGACTTGTTCATATTGATGGGAGGTTGGAGTAGAGGGTTCAGAAGATGCTAAAGGACTTTTAGGGATAGAATCATTCGAAGATGGTTCCCCCTCAACCGAAGCTTTGGTGGAACTTGAGACTTTTGATGGTTGATGAGGTTGAGAGATATTAGGAGAAACTATTTTTATGAGCTTTTCTGATTCAAGGCCAGAAGTTTGAATTGGAAAGAGGAAATCAAAATCTACTTCAATAGCATGGACTGGAGCAGAAGCAGTAGCGGGTGATGGCTGGTTCATTTTATCAAATGGTACTACCATTTGAGGACCATAGTGGTTTGGATCCAGAACCCTTACATAACTTTCATCAAAAGTGACATCACTGCTTTCCTTTATCACCCTGGTTCTTTTGTTCAGAACCTTATAGGCTGCAGCATGAAGGCAATATCCAAGAAAGATACCTTCATCAGCTTTGGGTGCAAATTTCCCTAGTTGATCCCTATTATTCTTGATGTAGCAATGATAGCCAAATATGTAAAAAAAAATTGACATTGGGCTTCCTCTTGTTCATTGCTTCATAGGGAGTGACTTCAAGCCTGTTGTTGATTAGGGATCTGTTATGAGTGAAACAGGTGGCTGCTATGGCTTAAGCCCATAAGTATTGTGGTAGGTTTGCGAAGATCTACATTGATCGAGCAACTTCACATAGTGTCCGGTTCTTCCATTCAACTACACCATTCTGTTGTGGAGTGTAGGCTGCAGAAAAATTGTGCTTGGTGCCTTTGGATACAAGAAAGCTATCTAAGGCATTATTCTTGAATTCGCCACCATTGTCACTTCTCAGTCTTCTAAGTGGCTTGCCTACCGTAACTTCTATGTAGCGGATGAAGTTGATTAGCTCATTGGTGGTTTTAGATTTGTTTCGTAGAAAGTACACCCAATTGAATTTGGTATGGTCGTCCACAATCACAAGAATGTATTTTTTACCACTTAAGCTAGGAACTATAGTGGGACCACACAGATCAATATGTATAAGCTGAAGAGGTTCAGATACACTATGTTTTGTTATACTTTTGTGTGGAGATTTGAAGATTCTTCCTTGTTCACAGGCAACACAAAGTATATCATTATCAAGTTTTAACAATGGTAGTCCTCTCACAAGATCCTTTCCAATGAGTTTTTGATATCACCAAAGTTGAGGTGGGAGACTCTTTTATGCCACAACCAACAGATGTCAGAGGAAACTTTGGAAGGAAGACAAATATATGGGGTTCCCTCAATTAGTTCACTATCAAGAGGATACATGTTCCCATGTTGTGGAGAATCGGAAAGAATGCGCTTGTTGGTATCCATAATCAAACTCTTGGTTTTGGTGAACAAAACCTCTGTTGGATAAGGTGTCTAAGTCCATAACTCTTTATGGTATGTACTTGCCCCGACCCGGCATGGTCCATTTGGGTTGCATGGCACCATGCAATTGGATAGACTAAATGAGAGAAATAACACTTGTGGTTTAATAATATATTATAAGTTCTAATATATTAATAATATTATTTAATTAGTTTGATCAACAATTAATTTAGAATTAATTAAGTGATCAAAAGATAACTAATTAAATATATGGGTTGATTATGTAAATTATCCATATCTTGTATAGTGGGCTAAGAGGCTCCATGGATAATCAAGTTGGTTTAAACCCATTGGATGCTCCATGGAGGTTCCATGGGGGTTACAAACCCATGGGTCATGGAAATGAAGAGTCATGGAAAATTAGGGTTTACATGGTGTAACTCTAGATGTGTCAACACTATATAAAGCTCATGTTTCTCCCAAAATCGGCCACACACATGCATACTTGAGGGCTAGAACCGATTTTTAGAGTGTTATACTTTCTCTCCAAGTTACTCCATAGCATTTGGTGTTGTGTGAAGCATTTAAGGAATCATACTTGGGGTGCTAGGCTCATAAGGTTTCAAGGATCAAAAACAACAACAAGGTATGTAGTTCTATCTTTGATTCAAGTTAAAATTATTCCCCATGTATGCTAGATAGGATCATAGCCTTGGAAATCAACTTTGAATGATAATTAGAAAAAGATAGATCCAAGGTTATTAGGGTTGCATGTACACTTAGGAAGTGTTAGAATGCTCAAAACCCATTAGTGGTATCAGAGCCTACTTGGAAAAATGACAAAGTCACCCTTCACTGGTTCTTGTTAGAGTGGTGAATGTTTGTTGGATCTTGTACACAAAGATGTATGTGGAGCCTTCAAAACTGCCACAAGGAATGCTAATCGTTATTATGTGACTTTTACAGATGATTATAGTAGATATGGATATGTCTACTTAATCAAGCATAAGTTAGAGACTTTTGAAAGGTTTAAAGAGTTTAAACAGGAAGTCGAGAATCAATTGGGCAGGAACATTAAGATGCTTCGATCCGATCATGGTGGTGAGTATCTTAGTAATGAGTTCCTCGACTATCTAAGGGAATGTGGGGTTGTCTCACAATTGACACCTCCTACGACACCACATTTGAATGGTGTAACTGAGAGGCGTAATCAAACCTTGTTGGACATGGTTTGTTCCATGATGAGTCGAGCTATGCTACCAATCTCATTTTGGGGGTATGCCTTACAGACTGCCACCTATATCCTTAATCCGGTCCCTACAAAGAAGGTTGCCAAAACACCTCACGAGATGTGGACTGGAAAAGTTCCTAGTCTAGCCCACATCAAGGTTTGGGGTTGCGAGGCTTTCTTGAGATGCGAGACTCACGACAAACTCAAACCTCGAAGTTAGAGGTGTATTTTCATCGGCTACCCAGAAAAATCCTTTGGTTACCTCTTCTACAGACCTAGTGAGAATGTGGTCTTGTAGCAAGGAAGGATGTCTTGAGAGAGAGAGAGAGAGAGAGAGTTCATAAGCCAAGGAGATAGTGGGAGGCTAATTGACCTTGAAGAACTTCAAGAGTCAAGTGCTGAAGGAACCTCAAACCCTAGCAGTCAACTTGAGGAGAAACCTCCTATTGATCCAATTATACCTCCAATTGTACCTCTGAGGCGTTCCAAAAGGGTTAGGAATGAACCTGAGCATTACTATGGTTTCCATATTACTGGGGAAGGTGAGACACTTATCATTGATGGGACACTAGTAAGTCTGGATGAACCTAACAGCTATGCGGAAGCCATGGCAGGCCCCGAGTTTGCTAAATCGAAAGAGGCAATAGATATCTAGATACAATCCATGTACGACAATCAAGTCTGGGACTTGGTTGACAATGTGCCAGGTCGTAAGACAGTTGGGTGAAAATGGATCTTCAAGAACAAGATCGACATGGATGGTAATGTACACACTTATAAGGCATGACTGGTTGCAAAGGGCTTTTCTCAAACTCCAGGAGTTGATTATGATGAGACCTTTTCACCACACTACTAGAAAATAGCCCTTTAATGACGTGCAAACTACGACACGCACGAATTTATGATACGTAAAAGTATGTGCCCTAAAAATATTGTCATATTTCCTAAAATTAGAAGGATTTAGAACACGCATTTTTGCGTGCCCTAAAATTAGTGTCCCAATAAAAGGAAAAAAAACCACGGAGGGCACCTAAAAAATATGTGTATCGTGTAGAGGTGTCACTTTATATTTTCTTTTACTGAACGTGCGTTTTTCTCAGTAACTAGGCGGAAAACGAAATCCCAAAAAAAATCAAAAAACCCACCTTGAAAGATGTACGCCTATTCTTCTCCTCTCCTTCAATCTTCTCCACGTTGAAAGATGTACCGATTCAACGATTCTCCTTCTCTTCCAACATGGCAGTCTTCTTCCCCAACAAAAACATTGACGAGGTCATCCACAAAAACCCTTGATTTCCTGCCAAAAAATTCACGAGTTCATCTATTTCACTTGAGGACGATGCCATGGACATCAAATTCGATTCTTCACACCACCTAATATTCAACTATGGTATATCCCCTTAACCTTCCGGATATTCCATATTCTGTTTTCTGTTCCTCTAAAGACGCTTTGTTTCGTTATTCTGTTCGAACCCTATCAAAGATGAAGGCGCGAAGTGCGATCAGGGGTAATTACATAAGTCTAATTCGGGATTTATAATAATATTTGGACCGAATGATGAATCGATTCCGTGGTGTCCGGTTCTTTGGGAATTTTGCCCATTTCCGAACCCTAAACATGAAATTTGAAACCTGATTGAAAGTTTTCCTCTTAGGTTTTGTTACATATATTGTTGTTCTGGATTTGATTTTTTATTGGTAGATTTGTGTTCTAAAATAAGTTCTAGAATTCTTCTTCTGATGCTAATTTTTTTTTGAATAATTTATGCTTATTGTTCACTAATCCTCTTCATTGTTTATTAGTGGAACTAGGAAATGTGAAATGTTGTGCATTCAACTCCTATTTTGTTTTAATTCTTATTTTATTTTGAGTTGATTTATAATTTTAAATCAATTCAGTACTTGTTTTGATCTTCTTTTCTTTATGAGAAACCAGAAAAGCATCGATGACACATATCAAAGTGGGCCCACACCGCTTCATGTTGGATTGTCCCATATCCACCTGATCTTCTAGATAATCCGGATTCATATGGTTTTTGGCTAATCTAGATGCACCAAAAAAAAAACCATGAGTTATCTTTAATAGGGCTAAGCAGTATATTAAAGACTACGAGGATCACGTATATCTATACTATTCTTACTACCATCATAGTCCTTTTCTTCATTGTTTAATCTTTTTCCTATTGTATATGTTAGTTTAAGTGTACAAATGTGACCAATAGAGCCTTGGTGACAGATTTTGTAGGGTGCGGTTAGCTTATACCTTTTGTTGAATCGTTTATGAATGTAGATTAGGTTGTATGTGCAATTTCTAACCCAAATAAATGAGGGATATGGGAAAGCTTGAATTTAGCTTAAGGTATCTTAACTATTTTCTGTTACAAACATTATCATTTCCATAAACAGGTGATGGTATTTTGGTAATCTCACTTTTAGATATATTTTTTATTGTGAACAAAATATGATATTGTGAATGGTTATTTTTAGTTTATTCTATATAATGAACAAAAGTTTATATTACTTTAAATGTTATATTTTTCTAAATGAAGTTGGCATTTCGTTCTTATTTCTGCAGGTCACTCAGATCCTGCAAAGTTAGAATTAAGAGTTCATGATGCTCAACAGTTATCTACCAATGAGCTAAAGAAATGTCAAATGGAAATCAAGGTTAGAAGCTGAGGCATATATGAGAACTAAATAGTTTAGCAAGATTCAATCAAACGTCTTAAATCTCAAGGAGGAGGCCCAGATGCTGAAGTAACATTTTTGACAAAGGTAATAATTAAAAATTAATTAAATATATAAATGCAAAATAGTTTTTTTAATAAACAAGTTCAGTTTATGTTCAGATTGAACTGCTGTCAAGACTGCATCACTGTCATGTGGTGCCATTACTTGGGTACTGTTTGGAATACCAATACCACACAAAACATCCTGAGATACTTTTGGTGTTTGAATACATGTCAAATGGCAACCTGAGAGAGTGTCTAGATGGGGTTTCAGAAAATGTCTAGACTGGGGGGCCCGCATTGCAGTAGCCATTGGAGCTGCTAGAGGGTTGGAATATCTTCATGAAACATCTGCACCAAGACTCCTGCATAGAGATGTTAAATCCACTAATATTCTCTTGAATGAAAACTGGAGAGCAAAGGTGGGAATCAGGATTAATAATTTTTAATATCACATTTGTGAATATTAATAAGTTTGATTTTTAATTGTGTGATGATTTTGTTGGTAGATTACTGATCTAGGAATGGCTAAGAGTTTGGTGAGTGATGGTATTCCAAGCTGTTCTAGCTCACCTGCTAGAATGCAGGGGACATTGGGCTATTTTGCCCCTGAATATGCGATTGTTGGAAGGGCATCACTGATGTCAGATGTTTTTAGTTTTGGTGTTGTGCTTCTTGAACTTATTAGTGGTGTTGTGATTTGGGTTAGTTATTATTATTTTTTACACTTTTGTTAATCTTATATTTGCTTTTACTAAATAAGGACGAAGATTGCAATAATAAGAATTATTGGGGACCAAATTTGCAAAAAAAAGGGATAAAAAATGTAATTTAGTAAAAGAAAGGGATAGTTTTCATTTTCAGGTGACACCACTTTTACAATATAGCAGGATAGTGAGTAAGCAACTGTCGGACCCACGTCTGAAAGGGAAGTTTGAAGAAGAAGAGATGCAAGTGATGGCTTATTTAGCAAAAGAGTGTTTGTTGTTGGATCCTGATGCTCGCCCAACAATGAGTGAAGTTGTTCAATTACTTCTAACTATAGCACCAGAAAAATCTAAAAGGCGGAATTTCTCCGTTGACTTTGAATTTGTCTCTGTTAAGTCGTTTTTTCTGCGTTCTGAAAAAAATCTTAATTTCTTAAATAGGATTATACCATTAGAATGGAATGCGAGCTTCAACAATTGTCATCCAGTAGAATCTTCATTGCTTGTGCATACCCCTCATGAAAACAAAGAACCAGTTGCAGTTACAGGTCCCGATTCACATGGTGGGGATGATGAAGTCACTGTTGATTTAACTGAACCACACTTTGAATCCTTTTGTGTGTCTAATATTTCATCTGCTTCATAACTTGGAATCAATTTTCATAATGACAATGGTGAAATCTAGTGTGTTAGAGGAAGAATCCATAAAAGCGTTGTATGTTGTTTTAGCGATTATTAGAAACAACCTAAATGGCCACAAATTGTTTTATTCCGAAGGCGGCGACCTAATGCTACAGGTAATGCATGTGGAAGTTGACAAATCAAAGTCTTTTCTAATTTAAAACTTGTTTTCTATGGCATTTTGAGCAACGTCACTGCTGATGTTAGACTACGCAGGAGATTAGTGTCACTTGTAGCTGATCTGGCTGAATATCAGTTAGAATATACTAGCAAATGGGAGGTTCCTTTTTTCAGCAATTGTGCCTAGTGAGGCTGCTAATTGATTTGACAGCATGAGGTGACCTTGATCTCTACGAGAAGGTTAATATGTTTATAGTTGTATTGGGTCAAATCTTGAATTGGGAGGTTCCTTTTCTCTACTAAAATCATCCCTTCAAATCTTGAATTGGGTGTTCGTTAATTTCCTCTGACCCGCTAAAAACCTCACGAAATACGGGTCATGGGCATTGGTTACGGGTCCTGAAGATGGTATTGGTCAAAAATGTTACTTCAGCATCAGGGCCTCCTCCTTCAAATCTTGCATTTATATATTCAATTAATTATTAATTGGGTGTTCGTTAATTTCCAGTAAAGGACTAAATTTGGTTCCTGTGGGTCAGAATCTTGCTAAACTAAACGACGTTTCAGATTTAATCCGAACTAAATTCAAAAAAACTCAAATCAAAGTTGTTGTGGTATATTTTAGTTGTGATTTAGATCATGGGATTGAGAGGATTAAGGAAACAGTTGCTGGTATAGATGTTGGGGTTTTGATAAATAACGTTGGGGTTTGTTATCCTTATGCTATATTTTTTCATGAAGTTGATGTCTGATTAATTAAGGTTAATGTTGAAGGGACGACTAAAGTTACAAATGTCGTCTTGACTGGAATGATCAAGAGAAAGAAATGAGCTATTGTTAATATTGGGTCGGGTGTTGCAGTTGTTATGCCTTCTAGTCCTCTTTATGCACTTTATGCTACTACTAAAGCGTAAGGTTCTTCGTAATTATTTGACGATAATCTAAAAATGTTGTTTCAGGTTGAAGTATGAACATTAGTTTTCTTGCTCTTAACTTAAGATATCGAAATCTACCCTCTTACCATTCTTATAAAAGAAGTTTTTTGATAATTGAATAATAGTATCCTTAAAATTTGTAGAATGAAGTTGGCATTCCCGCAGTTACAGACAACAAAATCCCTCAACCATTTGCTTTAAATGAATCAAGTTTTTTCTCGAAATCTGTCGATATTGCCCCTGATATGAATTCAGCCATACAAAAACAGGACAATAATGTTTCTAAATCAAGTATACCTCCTAAAGATATAGATACACACCAAAAAACTACCAATAACAATAATTTTCTCTCCGTTACTGCCCCTGATATGCCTCTTAGTGTGTCCTCAATGGAGGACCTTTTTTGTTTTGTTGTTCCTTGTAGCTTTTCTTCTGATAATACCCCTCCCCATGTTAATCCCCATAACCCAAAAAGTGTCTCACCCCAAAATACCGATAATACCCCTCCCCATGTTACTTTGAGATTTCATTTATTTTCAAATGAAAATGACAAGTCTTGATTCAACTATGGATCAATCATGTTACTTTGAGATTTCATTTATTTTCAAATTGCATTATGTTAACAGTATTGAGATTTCATTTATTTTCAAATAGCTTTATGTTTACATTTTTGCCCTCCTTTTTCATGTGTGTCCCAGTCATAGGAGTTATAATGAATGATGAGACTGTGCATCAGTTGTGTAAACAGGCTGTTTCATAGGTATTTACCATTTCAACTTTTGACTTTTGACTTTAAGGGTGTTGATATTCTCACAGGTTCATACTTTTAACATTTATATTTATATTTGTTATGCAACATGAAAGTATTGGTTTAAACAACTCTATGTCTTATTATATTAAAGGAATTTGTGGTGTACTATAATAGATGAAAAGGCTACTGGAATGATTGTTTACTAATTTTAATTGATTGTAAACATAACAGTACACTATAGAGGAGAAATTCATTGAAAGAGCTAATAAAAAACTTGCACTTGATGCTATGGTTATTCAACAATAACGTTTAGCTGAGCAAAAGAGTAAGCATTTCTTCACATCACCTTTTTACTAGTTTCCATTACTTCTAAATAACATGTTATTTTTTTGGCAGCTATAAACAAAGATGAGATGCTACAAATGATGAGGTTTGGTGCTGAAATGGTATTCAGTTCAAAGGATAGTACAATCACAGATGAAGATATCGATAGAATCATTGCTAAAGGAGAAAAGGCAGTTGTTGGGCTGTTGATTTTGTAAGTGCTGGCTTTGGTCAGGTATTTAATATTTTTCGACTACTTTTGTCAAAATAAATAAATATTATAATAATAATTTATGTTTCTCTTTTTAAGTATAAACTAAAGAGGTTCATATGGCCTTCCAGTTGGAGAAATAAAGTTGATCTTGCATTAGGAGATATACATGTTGCAAAGCGTATGAGTCTGACTACCCATGTGTCCCATTGGAGGAAGCTCAAGGTTCTTTACTTCTCTTACAATGTAATAATCCATCTTCACACTAATTTTGTAGTTATGTTTTTTTTTGTGCAAGCAATATAGATACTTTGAGCAATTTTATAGATTTAGAGTCCTTGAGTAGTGTTACTAAGGAATAGTGGAGACAAGTGAGGCACACATTTAAAAAAATCAGCACAAATCTTGTTTATAGTGAGGCACACATTAGGTTATTAGAACTGTTAGTTTGTAAATTTCTGTTACAACTCTACTGATTTGTTTTATCTTTTTATGGAACGATTATTTGTATGACATTAAATTTTATGCAATGGATTGTATTTTTTGTATATGATATTTTATTTTCTGTTATGAGACATTAAATAAAAATTTAATTTGAAAATTAGTAAATCTATAAATAATATTTTTTTAAACATTTAAAATTATGATACGCAAAATTGTGTGTCATCTTCATTTATGACATGGCCTTTCTTGACAGGGGCTTTCTTGATACGCATTGCGTGTCATTAACACGCGCGTCATAAGGTTACGACACGCGAATGTGTATCATCTTCCTTTATGACACAACCTTCCTTGATACACATTGCGTGTCGTAAACGTGCGTCGTAAATGCGCGTCGTCTCTAGACGACGCGCAAAAGCGCGTTGTCTCTCTTTATGACAGGGCCTTCCTTGACGCGCATTTGTGCGTTGTCTGAGCCTTTTACGACGCGCAATGAGTGTCATAAAAGGTTGTTTTTCTAGTAGTGCCAGTAGCCAAGATTAAGTCTATTAGGGTATTGTTAGCCATAGCTTCATTTCATGACTATGAAATATGGCAAATGGATGTCAAATTCTCTTTCCTTAATGGAAAGTTGGCTAAGGATGTTTACATGAATCAGCCAGAGGGTTTTGTCAGCACAAAGTACCCTAATAGAGTGTGTAAGCTTGAGAAATCCATATATGGATTAAAACAAGCACCTCGGAGATGGAATCTTTGATTTGATGAGAAGGTCAAAGAGTTTGGTTTTACTTGGAGTGAAGATGAATCATGTGTATATGTCAAGGCTAGTGGGAGTATAGTTAGCTTTTTGGTGTTGTATGTGGATGACATACTACTCACAGGAAATGACATCCTAACTCTGCAGGAAGTTAAGTCCTGACTTGGGAAGTGTTTCACTATAAAGGACCTAGGAGAAGCTACCTATATTCTAGGGATAAGGATCTTAAGAGACGGGAGTAAAAGACTAATTGGACTTAGTCGGAATACATACTTGGATAAGGTGCTGAAGAGATTCATCATGCAAGATTCCAAGAAAAGAGAGTTACCCATCCAGAGTAACACTAGACTGAGTAAGACTCAGAGCCCGAGTAATAAGGATGAGATAGCAAAAATGAGTCGGGTACCTTATGCTTCGACAGTAGGCTCGATCATGTATGCTATTACCTGTACTCGTCCTGATGTAGCCTTTGCTTTAAGCATGGTTAAAAGGTATCAGGGGAACCCTGGTAAGGCTTACTGGACAGCGGTAAAGAACATTCTCAAGTACCTTCGTAGGAATAAGGACTTGGTACTTACCCTTGGTGGGAGTGATGACTTGAGAGTTGTAGGGTATAGTGATGCTAGCTTCCAGACTGATAGGGATAATTTCCGCACTCAGTCGGGCTGGGTCTTTACCTTAAATGGAGGAGCAATCTCCTGGAAAAGTTCCAAGTAGGAAACAGTGGCTGATTCAACTTGCGAATCAGAGTATATAGTAGCAAGCGAGGCGGAAAAAGAGGCTATGTGGCTAAAGAACTTCATTGGAGACCTTGGAGTTGTACCTGCTATATCGAAGCCCATAGAGATTTTCTGTGATAGTGAAAGTGCAGTTGCCTTAGCAAAGGAACCAAGCGATCATGGGAGATACATACACATTGACAGAAAATATCATTTCATCAGACATCGTATAGAAGAAGGACTCCTCGTGGCAAATAGGGTATCATCGGATGAGAACCCGCCCTCACGAAGGGACTGGGTAGGGTTAAGCATCTCCAACATGCTAGGAGCATAGGGCTGAAGGATGATATTAGTCTTAGTAGTTACATAATTTTGAAATTTGTAAAATGTAATTGACATTTGATGATGAATAAAAGGTGTGTTTATTTTTTAGTAAAGTGGTGCTACCCCTTGTCAATAGTTTACTATTATTTCTTTTGCATGTTTTGACTTCCAGAATATTTATGTTGTGTTACATATTATTCAAATTATCCACAGTCAGTCATATGTTGGAAGTAGATGTGAAGTAAGACTGTCATGAGTTGGTTGTAGAGGTCCAAGATGTTGGACATGGCCTCAAGACACATGAGTGCTCATAAGATCTGAGTATTGGATTCAACCCACGCTCGCTGGTATCACTTCATGGAATTTATCTCGAGTGATTGCGAGACGGTAATATCATATAAGTCTTCAAACCTAGAGATATGACTTGTTAACTATGAGTTAGTTATGCATTGAACGTGCGAAACCGCATTGGTAACTCGATGTTATAAAATGTGCGCTTGTGTGTAATTTAACAAGTAGTAGAACGAGCATATGAGTCGAAGTTTATCTGTTCCTTCTTGGATTAGAAGCTGATATCTGGCCCCCTCAATGATTTTGTTTTGACCTATGTATCGGGCCCAGTCATAACTAAGTTGATGTGTTCAATTAAGTTCTATGCCAAACAAATCAGAAATCGGGAAACAAACTGTTGGACAATAAGCAAGAACTTGTTCCATGTGTTTGTCCGACTGATATCTAAGAACATAGGATTATATGCCCCTTATCTAAAATGGCATACCATCATCTTCTCAGTTCCGAGAAACCTTGAAAAGAGCTACGATTGCCGATCGGTTCCTAAAGTCATACTTGCAGTTATAGTTATTATACTTATCCAATTAGGAGACTGTTGGATAAGGTGTCTAAGTCCATAACTATTTCTGGTATGTACTTGACCCGACCCGGCATGGTCCATTTGGGTTGCATGGCACCATGCAATTGGATAGACTAAATGAGAGAAATAAAACTTGTGGTTTATTAATATATTATAAGTTCTAATATATTAATAATATTATTTAATTTGTTTGATCAAGAATTAATTTAGAATTAATTAAGTGATCAAAAGATAACTAATTAAATGTATGGGTTGATTATGTAAATCATCCATATCTTGTATAGTGGGCTAAGAGGCTGCATGGATAATCAAGTTGGTTTAAACCCATTGGATGCTCCATGGAGGTTCCATGGGAGTTACAAACCCATGGGTCATGGAAATGAAGAGTCATGACACATTAGGGTTTACATGGTGTAACTCTAGATGTGTCAACACTATATAAAGCTCATGCTTCTGCCAAAATCGGCCACATGCATGCATACTTGAGGGCTAGAGCCGATTTTTAGAGTGTTATACTTTCTCTCCAAGTTTACTCCATAGCATTTGGTGTTGTGTGAAGCATTTGAGGCATCACACTTGGGGTGCTAGGCTCACAAGATTTCAAGGATCAAAAACAACAACAAGGTATGTAGTTCTATCTTTTATTCAAGTTAAAATTGTTCCCCATGTACGGTAGATAGGATCATAACCTTGTAAATCAACTTTGCATGATAATTAGACAAACATAGATCCATAGTTATTAGGGTTGCATGTACACTTAGGAAGTGTTAAAATGCTCAAAACCCATCAACCTCATGATCATTGTCACACAGTTGTGCAACACTGATAAGTTTATGTTTCAAATCATCTACATACGCTACATGCTTAATGGTAAAGTTCTCGTTTTGATATGTTTCCGTGTCCATAACATCTCCGTTCATGTTGTTTCGAAAAGTAAAATATTGACCTGGCATTGTGATCTTGAAATCTCTTAAATATCCTTTGTGCCCGGTCATGTTCCTGGAGCAACCACTATTAATGTACCATGTATCATCATGTGGTACCCTAGCACAAAAATCCTGCAATTAGAGAGAAGGTTTAGGTACCCATGTAGATTTGGGTCCTTGAGTGTTAGCTTCCTTCAGACTTATGGTAGTTGGGACAGTCTTTTCTTGTTTTGCATTAACCTCTTTGGGTTTTGCTTGGTTTTTTGTGGCCTTAGTTTTTGATTTTCTAGGGGTCTTCTTTTGTGTTTTGGTTTGTGGGAAGACTGGAGAGTTGGTGAACTGAGTAGGAATTCCTAGAGAGGGAAATCCATAGTTCGCAGGCATTCCAAATTGATCAAACATGGGAAACTGGGTATTTATCCCAAATTGATTAATCATTGGAAACCCAGAGTTTCCCCCAAACATGGGATTTCCTCCTATGGACGAAGAAAAACCACAATATGGACCAAGAATAGAATTCATAGGGTAATTTCTATTCTGATAGATGAAGGGTTTGGTTTGAACAAGCCTTGGTCTCATCATTTCAGGCAAATCAGAAAGATTGTTAGGTATGAAGTTATTGTGATAGTGAATTCCAGTTTGGTTTGGAAATCGAGAATTTGAGAAACCATGATTGGAAGGATAGTATCTTTGAGTCCTTGAAGTTTTGGGAGGAATGGTATGTCTGGTCTTCCCTTGGCTTGGCTTAGCCTTAGGTACTCTCTTGGACTTCATATCCTTGTCATTATTTGTAGTCTTAACCACTTTGGGTTTTGAAGGATTGACTACAATTGGACGTTGTTCTTTAGAGACATTAATTTTCTCTTTTCCCTTGTCTTTAGAGACATTAGTTGGATTAACAATTGTCTAATACGGTTTAGGACTGGGTGAAAATATTTTGATTGGAGAAAAAGGTCTCTTGAGTATTCA